TGCATGTATATTATTTCATAAAGTTGCAATTAACTTTTAACATCCATAGGATACAGATACAAATTAATGTTAAATGTTGCAGAAGCCAAAGTAAAAACATAATTCTTATTCGAATAAATTCCGTAACAATTAATTAGATTGTAACTATTTAGTATCCTGTATTTTTTACTTTTTTATCATTTTCTGTTTTATTATTTATCACGTAGTTAATGTTATAGATTAAAATATATTTTACAGAAACATTAAGTTTATAAATCAGCAAAGATATGAAACAAGCTGAAACAAATAATCATTTTTCAGGAAAATAAGGAGCAGTTATAATTTACGTGGATTAGTCTCTGTTTTAATCTGTGTCTTATAATGGTGAAATTACATAAATATCTATGTCTATAACTCATATATTGCAACATCAATAATCTATCTAATAATCTATGGATGCCAAAATGGCGAAATCACAACCCTTCACACAGGTACATTGGAAAGGAATCCTCATATTACTTTGGCGCACGTTAATCCTGAAGCATTTCCACCATTGGATCCCGAACCAGGCAAGCACTGTTCTATGTGGTTCATCGGCCTGTCATTCGCCAAAAGCGAAAGTCTCAACATTGACCTCACATATGATATCAAATCCTTTGTGGAAACAAGTAGGTTCGATTATAAATTATGCAAAGAGTGTAGAATATACAATCATATATGAATTTATTGCAGTCGAAAGGCAAGCAGAACAAATAAACATGCTGAAGGAAGGGATGGGAATCGAGGCTAAGCATGTAAAACGAAGAGACTTGCACACTTATGTATCTGCAAGTTTGCTGAAAAAGGACAAGAGGGTATGGCGAAGTATATTCTTATAGTTGCATTTTGTTGACATTAACAATGATGTTAAATTAAAAATTCTTATAACAGATTCTTAGTAGGTGATATTTCAAGAGATATTACGCAAAAGGACATCGCGAGATTATAAAATTTATCGAATATTTCACAAGACATCTATAGTGAAATTAAATTTCACTTCAGAAGAATAATTATTATTTAAAATGTCTAATCATTCTCACCACATAATTGCAGATTTCTAGTAGTGTGCATCGGAATGGCAACCTTGCTGGCAACGGTAGTACTGGTGGTGGTGTGTCGCCACGGAATACAAGCGATACAAGCAGCAGGAAAAGATTGTCGGATCAGGCACTCGATACGAATGGAAAGAAACGGCGAGTCAATGAGCAGGCGGAAGAACAAGTAGGTATACACGCAGAGTGCTCGAAGAGGAAAGAAATAATCTATGGAAATAATTCATGGATGTGTGAAATTGGAAAACTGTAATGCATTATATTTATGTCATTCAACTGTTCCAAAATTTCTTTTGTAGGCGGAAAATGCATCATTAGTGGTTCAATCTTGCGGAGAAGATAGCAATTCCGGTTGCAGCATGGATGAATACAAACAGAATCTATCAACCACTAAGGACGTAAGACATTGTTTATAATGAACAGTAATCTTTGTAGCACAAGATTAGATAATTAAATAAGAAAATGAATAGTAAGTGGAAAATCAGAATTTATTACAAAATATTTTTTATTTCCATATCTTGCCAAACCGAGGTAAAAAATAACACGTAATAGTTTTAATTATCTGCTTTCATATAATTTAATATACATGTATATATTCATTTGTTAACATATCTTTTCTTGTTTTGACTATATGTAACTTATTGTTAGAAACAATAGCAATATGTTCTATCATTGGTTATTAATTAATTTTAATATTAAAGAAAAAAAACAATTATCAAATATTAAATAACTTTTTTGTTACATGAAGGCAACAATTGTGCACACTTTACCAATGTCTATTCCAACGGAGATGCATTAAAAAGTGTTCGACCTTCTATTGACAATGATTAATAATACGATTTATTCTTCCGTGATGTATGTTTGTTATAGGAAGGACCTACCGGTGCATCTGCAGTAGCGCAGGAGGGATTCGTATGCACTTGATGACCATTGCGGGATTACTATCTCATGCCAATCCACAGATGCTCCTCTGGATCATCTAGACTGTAAACATTTCTCACGCAACCATCCACTGCCCACTGTAAGTCCTTCGTTTCTTAAAAGCAAAAACAGCGTCACGCAATGGAGGAAGCTATCCAGGTGGAGTCAATCGATAGATTGTGTGTGTTTATGTGAGATATACGCTATATAATAGTATTTATAAAAAACATCGACAGTCAATGGGGAACAAAACGACGAACTTTACACGATTGTGCCAGTGTCTGTGATGTCATATCATTGGGGTATAATCACTGTGACGAAGGGATTTGCCACCATAAAAGTTCAATTTATTATTGCTTAGAAATTAGTCATACTTTTTATATTTCTCTTTTGTATATGTTGTTTACATTACACTTTTTTTTATCGATAAATGCTTGAACAAGAAGAACTTAAGATTTGATAATACTTGATGCAACATAATTTTACGTAATTTATATGACGAGCAGGAATAGTCTGATCGAAAAAAAAAATTACATGATGGAAATTTCCGTATTCACGAATATTTCCGCATGTTAGAAAAAAAAAGTAAAAAATTAAATATATTCTTATATAAAGTGCATTTTTGTAATGCACAGTGGAATATGCTTTGAAAATGCATATATGTATCATTTAGTTGTAAGTAGCTGATAAACTTTATTACTCATTAACGCAAATCACATGTCGTGATCTGCCTTCTTAGAAATTTGCAAACAGTACTGTATCATTAGCGTCTTAACTGTTTGTACTAAATATGAACTATTATTTACACGATACTTAAATATTGCTATTATTTGTAAGGATTAGGTATTTCAATGCAAGTTGTAGAATAAAGTTGCTTTAAAACCATTTATATTAATGAAGGGAAATAGAATGGTGGGCTTCATGTGTCACCTCTCGTACAATTATAATGCAACTGCATTGATAATATAACTACATTAAAAGAATCATTGACACTGGCATAAACCCGAGGATGTTTCATTTACATAGAACGCGTAGAGATAATAGTCATTTTAAAAGAAAAAAAAAGAGAAAAGACTTGGAAATGAAACATCTCAAAATAGGCCATTGACTATCTTGTTGACGAATATGTTGCGTGAAACAGTTTCGTACGGAGCCGACTTTTAGTTTTTGCTCAGAAACAAAGTTAGAGCTTTAACGAAATAGAAATGGGCTGACATTTGGATGATTGAAATCACCTGTCACCAACTGGTGAGTTTTTTCAGGTGTTCATCTGCCTGCGCTCCCAATCTACAGCTCTGATCCTTGGTCCTGATTCCGATAACCTTTCCTATTACCGTCTCGATTCATGTGTTAAAGGCATGTCCACTCTCTCGTATGCTACAAGGTATTTGATGTTCATTCTTTGGTATTTGCAAATAAAACTTGCGAACACCATAATGTACGCAAAAATCATGTACTTGCAGAGTAACGTTTGTCAAGTCAAAGGTTCAAAATACAGAATATGTGGAATTGGCATTGAGAAAGATAGGATAAGAACTATTTCTCGCAGAATCAGTAATATAATTATTGACTCCATCGCGGAATATCTATTGTAAAACGTTGTATGTAAAATTTAATGGCTATTAATCCCTCAACGCGCAAGCCCGAGTTAACTCGGGCAAGCGGTACTGGCGTGCGATAAAACCGTGCGTTAAGGGATTAATCAATTTTTATGAATAATATGAAAATCTTGACAGCATTGTAACACTTTGCAAGTGCTATGATTTGATGTTCAGTGATTAGGAATCATTCCGTTACTTGTATATATATATTTGTAGATGCGCTGAGGTGATAGGTTTCACTCCTTTCAAGGCCTATCTTGTCATTTTATTTATTGATCAGGGAGGGTACACATTTCCCTGCACACTAAAAAAAATAATAACAATGCTGCTTTGTTTCTTCGCCTTTTTGTGGATTCACGCTGTAATTTTATACCTGAATCGGATACCTGAGATTGATGAAGTATATTATGGTACCGTGCAAGAGAACAACTAGGCCAGTTTAATTGATCTTCAACTTTTGATTTCCATGTGTGACGTTAGCTTGATATAATACTAGTAACGCAGCACATAATCATTATTTTGAATAAGTGTGAAACTTGTAGCAAATTCGGTTCGGTAGATCAAAATGCATGACAGAACCGAATTCGTTATTAATTGTTATCGCACGGTACTGTGGAATAGTATAAAATCATGAATTTAGTTTGAAATAAATCGGTATCATAATTACTCTTGTAGATTTCACGTGAAACGGGAAAATATTGTTCTATTAATGTTTTATTTTTAGTAATCATTTGTGCATTTTGACTAAGAATGTGTTGATTCGTAATGCACGAATAAAATAAAATTATGCAGAAGTAAGAGAAAAATATTAATATTGTTCTGTGCAAGAACTCACATAAGATAAAACTGCATTATCGCGTCCATTTATTTATCTTCAAAGATATCGCATAAATTTAAATTAATCAATTAATTTTTAAATTTAAATTAAATACACAAATTTGATTTAATTTAGGTATTAATTTAAATGAGCGGTTTTCAAACTTTTTCAGTCGCAGGATCTTCTTTCGGGATTAATTTTTTTTGTAGACTATTGAATATTTTTTTCTACTCTAAAAACATATAACGTATTGTATCACATACAGAATAACATTTCCGAAATTAAATATATCATTCATCATATCTATATATACAAATCTTTTAATGATTATATTTGATTCTATATAAAAGAATTAATAATATAAAGCTCATCAACACATATCATAAAATTGAACGTCTTTTGTACTGTAAATGAAAATACCTCTAGTTTTTGTGCTTTATCAAACATTTTTTTTATTCATTCTTTATTAGAAGATCCAGACGAATGTATAAAGCTTTAAAACTTTAATAAACAAGATCTATTATTTATTACGTTATTGAATAAGCATTATTGAATAAGCATTCTGCTTGTAGAATTCGAATATAATTTTCTTGTTAACGTTCAGATATAAAGTTTTTTAAATTTATGCGGATACACTTAAAATTTCCATTTTTACCAATGAAAAGAGTATATTACATAGTTATCTCCAACAGATTCGATACTCATCATCAATTTTACTTTAAAAATAGTATGACATTTTGTACATATATACACAATTGAATTTGTGGTGGCGCATAATGTATGTTTTTAGTATAGAATGATTAAGTTTGCAAACCATATTAATCACGGTGCAATACGTAATTATTTTCTTGCGCGTGTTCTTTTTTTTTCTTTTTTTTCATCAAAATAGAATCATTTTTTAGTTAAAAAATAATGTCGATTAATTAAGTACATTGCAACTACATATTTTGAATAACGTAATGAAATATAAGAAAGATACTAACGCTGTTATAAATGATATTTATTTTGTCAAATAATTCTTTTGCACACTTTCATTCATGTTCATTATTCATATACTAAGCATAACTACGTCATGTGAGATTTTTTGAGAATTATCGAACAAGAATCTCATTGTGATAAAATAAACATGCGAAAATTTATAAAAATCTTGATGAAACTTTTTTTATCTATAGACTTTGAAACAATGTAGTTTCTCAAGTCTTCTGAATCTTTTTTTTTTCCTTTTATTTTTTTCTTTAAGTTCTCCGTATGCCATCGCGTGGCATTTATCGTATTCACAATTATTATGATTATTATTACTACTATTATTAGTGTTATTATTATAATGAAATTTTTGTCACTATTATTGTCACATGCTTCACAGTCAGTCTCTTTTCTTTATTCTATAAACGAGAATTGCTCTTCCATGTTATTTTAATCTCATACGACCAAGAACGCCATATCGGACGATTCTCGATTACAAACGCCATGACACTCGCACTCGTCATACAGATCTCTTTCGCCACATTCGGTATCGATTTTTATTGCATAGCTCACTTATTGTCGCTCACTAATCATCTCCACGTACATTTCTGATGTTAATAACTCGCTATCTTCTAAGTTCTAAAGAAACTGTACACATTGCATAGCTTAAACGACAATTTAGACACGCGATAAGAATATAGGCCGTTGTTATCGCGATTACTAGCAGAAACACGGGGTGTACCGTCGGCGAATTAAAGGCCGAGGATCCCCGAGCAGTGAACATCAATGTTACACTTGTGCGCCATACCTTATCGTCGCTCCTTTATTGATTCGAGGCTGTCACGCGTTCGATTCGTACCTCTCTGTCTCTCGAAAAATAGCTAGACATGTCTGTAGCACACATTCTCAATTTCCACGTAGCCTCTCCCTCTCCTGAAAACCACCACCGTTGGCCGACGTGGGCATCTTGCAATTTCGATATTAAGGCAAGGGGATAACAGGAAAGGGGGGGATCGCTATCTCTGACCCACAATCCTACCTTTTATTATATGTGAAAAAAGGGGAGAGGAAACAAAAACGGGAAATAAGCTGAAGGAGAAACTAGACGTGAAAATTCATGTCGCGGAAAGTGCGGACTCAGTGCGCACAAGATTCTCTCGCGCGGATCGCGTTTTAGGATCTCACGTCTTGTATCGAAGATTATTGTAAAAGACAGAAGATGATGAATTCGATTACTCTCAGTACGCATATACGGGAGTTTTTATGAACAAATAACTGCGGTTTTTTGCAGAACGAAGCTGTATATTGATTTTAAAAATTATCTGATATTGTGAGATAAATTACGTTTAACGCATTTCGATCGTACATGTAATGAACGTGACACTCCTGCAAGCAATCGCGCTTAACGATTTCACGATACATCCACGAGATACGCTGTCAGCATTCACGATCATTCCAAAGAATGCTATTTTGTTTTCTGGATATTCTCGCGGAAATTTCATAAAACGGAATGCATTTTACGAGTGTTGGCCGCTTCGCGACGTCAATGCGTAGATCCTTGCATAATCGTGAATGCTGTAAGCAAGTGCGCGTAATAATTACCGGTTCGCCGCGCGCCCATAATTGGCAATAGCGTAAAACAAACAAGTAAGAACATGCATAATTTGTATCCTTAATCACTGTACACTCTGTATCTTTCCTAAATAAACGGAAATAAATTTTTCTTTTAACTCCTTCAGCCAAAATGGAACTTGCCGTCGATGACGTTAAGGCGAAACGATTCAAGATTTCGTTTGAGTATGCAAATGTGTAAGTGAATGTTTTTTTTCTTTTCAATTCTGAACATGATCGTCTCGTCTTGCCGCGTTTGACAAGATCTCTTTCTCTCAAACATCCTATCTATCATCCTCCAATGACAATTTATAACTACTGAGTATTGCGATCTATCTGCGATCAATTATGATATAAATTGACCTTTGATGTTCCATTGATTTTCTGTTCGAACGACAATCTTAGTTATCCTTGTCAATTGTCAATAATTATTATCAAGCGAGTTATGGTAAGTATTGTGTAACTTACCGTACGTTATTATATTTCTAAGTTACATTAAAAAACAAATTTGTAATCTTTAAATCCTTATAAATATTTCAAAATCATTTACTTGAAAGAATAGAAGAGATGTTTCTCATCACTTTTGATATCGTAAATATTTTGTTTTCTCCTGCAAGCTACAGCTATCTCTAAAATTTTACTCGCATTTTTGAACTAATACAATTCAGCGTTAAAATCATGGTTGTACATAATTATAGTTGTGCTATTTTTATTTTAAGGCCATTTCAAAAAACGCATTGAAAGAAATATAAATAAATAATTCTTATCTTATTCAATTTTCTAATTTCGTGATCAGCAAATCATGATTAATAATTATGTTGCTTTTTTATCACTATATTAATTTAAAAAATTTAATTTTTGTGAAAACTATACACTATTATATCATGATATTAGAATGTTACGTCTATGATATAGAAGATATACAAAAAATTAAAAAATTTGCAGCATTTATGATAAATTTTATATGATGCTTATACTTATGTGATAATAGACTAGCAAGATAATTGATCGGAAGATTGAAAGGAATACATATGAAGAAAAGAGCTCCTTTAAAGTCGGCGAAGAGCGCGTGTGCGACATGTTGGAGCTTAAACTCTGAGCAAACGGATGCAACTAGTATCATACAGTTAGTGTCCTGTGTGCTGACGACCAGTTCCATAGCACATATGGAATCTTTAATGCAGTAATCCAAAAAGTTTCAATTTTTCTCTGAAGTTTAAGAATATAATTATAACCCAAATATTAAAAAGAAAAATATAATTAAACGTGATAAAAAAGTAAAGAAAATATTAAAATATGAGATATAAACATATTGGTTTTGTCGGTGCATCATTAATCACGTTCCTTTGCCTGCTTTCTGGACTCGTGTATTATTTCAATCAAGGTATGAGTAAATTTGTGCAATGAATCATTTTATTCATAATGAATCAAGCAAATTGTGTATTTTTTGTTTGGAAAGAATTTAATGTGTTAATATTGCTGATTATGAGACTGATTGTGATTCTTGTGATTTTTACAAAATATTGTAAAATCAATAAATTTAAAAAAAATATGAGTATTATAAAAATAAAAATTTCTAAATTACGTAAATATTGTTAATACTAATTACTTTAAAATTTACTTTAAAATAATTAAAATAATTCTAATTACTTTAATTCTAATTACTTTAAAATCTATATCTTCAAACTTCAAAACGTATATCTTTCTATTTAAAAAACATTCTCATTCACTTTATTATATTTATCAAAGATAAAAGAACCAAAAAGAAAAAGTTTACTTGCATAAAATCTCTAGTTGTGTTTACTATACGCTATATTTTTTTCTGGAAATTTTTCACGATGTAGCGAATTATAAATGATTGAATGTGACGAGTATGCAGATTACTAAGTAGCTACTTTCTATTCTTTAGCACGTACAAATTGTTTGTATGAGATAAAATACGATAAGTTATGACGCGATACTGTTAAATTATTATATTGCTTCTACAAAATAAAAACACAAAATAATTAATCATCAGCTTTATGCGTCATGTTAATTGTATAAATTTTGAAGATAAAATAATTCACAATTTTATAAGCTTATTGAAAAATATGATAAAAATAGTCACAGTCTAAGATATTTTTATATATATTTTAGATGCGTGTCCTGTCGGTTCATTCCTTTGTCAAAATAGCACCAAATGCGTACCACAACGTGACTGGTGTAATGGAATATTGGATTGTCCATATTATGACGATGAATTCACAACAAATTGCTGTGTGTTTCAAATTTTATTTAAAATTACTTTATTTACTTATATTTAAGATACGTTCTGTTATACATCCATTTTAGTTTTTATTTAAATCAATTTATAATTTTTCTCTTTCAGCTAATGGCTAAGTGTATTACATTTTTTATTCTACTAGAAAACTTTATTTTGTATAAAAATCTTATTGTTTATTATTTCGTGAATATTAACAAAGATAATATGTGTTAATTTTTACGAGAAAAAATTTTAACTCAACATCAGTTTTTATTTGTTTCAATTATAATAATATAATTAAAGAAAAAGAAAAGTTTGATTTCTATATTTCCAAAGATTTCTATAATTTTAACTCTAATCGATCATTTTGCGGCACAGTTGACATACATGGAACTTGGGAATGGTTTATGCAACCTAGAGATTGGGGAAACTTTACGAATTGCGGTAATAGCATAAAATACATAATAAATAAATTTGAGTAACATTTGCTTAATTCTAAAATATTTCGAATTTTTTTACTACAGATGCGTTTGATGCTCCAGGCAGATGCATTTACGATACATGTTCTGTAACATGTACGAATTATACCAATATACCTCAGAACTTATCATCAAACATCACACAGATGTATGTTTTACAGAAAAATCTTACTACATTTTTATATATAATAAATATAATAATTAAATATTAAGTAACAGAAAAAAATCATAATAATTAGAATAATTGATTTCGATGAAATTACAAAAATGAGTAACAATAAATCAATAAATATTCTTAATGTTGACAGTATTTAATATTAAGTATCATTTTTTGCAGAATTTTAACCGGAAATTCATTAATGCGCTTACACCATAATGCGTTATTAAAATATCCACAGATACGTTCACTGTAAGTTTTCCTTATTGTAAATTTTTATAAATTCTTATAAAGCTTTTACAATTTTAGATTTCTCGATAATAACAATATAATTGAATTAAAAAAGAGGGCATTTGTTCATCAAACTGAGCTATTTTGGTTGTGAGTACATGTATTTTATTAATATAACTGACATGCACAATTTTCCCGAAACTCGTTTTTCTGTACAGAGTTCTCACAAACAATAGAATCAGCAAGATACAGCCTGGACATTTAATAGGATTGGATAAATTAGAAACTCTGAGATTGAATCAAAATAGAATTATAATGGCAGATTTTTCTGACTTAGAAAATAGCACTACTACTTATTTGATGTAAGTTATATGTAAAATCATTAGATTATATACTCGAAAAAGCGTTAATACGTATATATTAATCTTCTTGTTTAATTTATAAACAGAGATCTGAGTAAAAACATGTTGACGACATCAGCCTTGAAGCTGCCACGATTACCAGCATTGACAGAAATGTAAGCCTATATTGCTTAAAACAAAAAATATACACATGTCTATTTTATTTTCCAAAATCGCATTTTAGAATCTTGGATGAAAACCGCTTCGAATCAATAACGGAAGATTTATTCGCCGGGTGCTCCGGTTTGAAATCACTGTACGTACATAAGTAGATTACGGAAGCGATTACTGTCATTCTTAATAAGATTCATGAGAACTAACGATGCAATGATGATTCAGGAGTATGGAGAACAATAGCATAAGCAACATCGATGAGCATGCGTTCCGAAACTTACAACTTGTTGAACTGTAAGTACATAAATATCGATGAGACTCGATTTTGTATTAATAGTACCAGTCTTCGATTATTGCACAGATCACATTGGGATAAAATGCATCACATTATATGCAATATCATTACGTCAAGTCGTGCGATCGATTTTCCTGTGAGATATCTTTATGGTTTTTTCAACATTATCTTAAAAATACACATTTAATGAAATACGGCGATTAATTTTCTTATTGTTCATTTTTATACAAAATTTCAACTTGCATATCTACCTAAAACTTAAAAATTATTGGATATTGTATGAATAATTTACAAATATTGTTAGAAGCTAAAAATTATATTATCTCAATGCAATTATAATAGCAAATTTTATATTACTTGATACATCTAATGAATCGATTGAATGTTAACGAACATTGTTGAAGCTCGGTCTTGTTTCAGTAATTTGGCCCACAACAAAATAATTACGATACCGTCAAACGTGTTTCAACCTGTGAATAATCTGTCGAAGCTGTAAGTATGCAAATATTCGTGTTGTAATACAATTCGCGTGATAATCAGTCTCAGCTAAATGTTTAAATTAGGTACGTGCTTAAAGTCTATTTAGATAGTATTTACTACTAAAGATTTGTTCATGAGAAACAGCGAGAACGTCACGTATCCGAGCAATCGGATATAATTTAAGCTTGTACGTGCAAACTAGATGTTTGAAAATAAGATTCATTACTATGACAAAGCGTATAATGTAATCTCGTCCTTCTAGATTAATCGGTTACAATCCTATCGCTGAGTTACCAATGACGCTCTTTAATCCGCTGAAAAATCTTCGTTCTCTGTAAGTTGCATATCTCTTCTTCTTTATCTCTAAAAACAGATGAATAATTTTTTTATAATTTAATGATTCATACTATTAGATATAAATATTAGCAAAAAGTTAATATTAACAACAAATATTTTTTAACCTTTTATTAATTTGAATCAATACATTAATATAATAAATTAAATTTCAGGGGTGTCGAAGATATAAACATGGATAATATGAAAAAAAATGCGTTCGACATGTTTCCAAACCTTGATTTCGTGTATGTCTTCTTATCAGGATTATTTAATGTACACATTATAATTTTTCTTTCCTTAAATAAAAATAAGAAATTAAAAATTATTAATTTTTTGCTTTTGAATGGAAGTTTTAGCTACATAAAATTTTATTAAAACATTTAATGCATAACATTTAAGCTTAACATTTTATTAAAACAAATAATGATATAAACATTTCATCTTTTTTAGATATTTTAAGAAATTCCATTACTGCATGACTTACGCACCGAAAGTGCAAAAATGCAGGCCTGCTAGCGATGGTAAGACAAATATATCACGATTAAATAAAATTTTCTTAAATTATAACAGTAAATAATTTAATAGTCAGTGTTGAATCACAAATGTGATAAAACACAAAGGAAATAATTTATCGTCTCTCTTTCTCTTCCTTTCTTTTTTCTCTTGTTTTCTCAAGGCGTGTCATCCATGTCTCATTTGCTGGGCAAACCTCTGTTAAGGGCTGCTGTTTGGAGTATATCTTGTGTTACTTGTCTTGGAAATAGCCTCGTTCTATGGGAAAGATTTGTCGTCAAGGATGAGAACCGTGTTTTGAGTATTATTATCAGAAATCTTGCAGGTAATTGTATAAAATTTTTTTAATAGAATCGAAAATGTTGTGAGAAAATAAATCAGTTTTTTATATTTTTTGAAAATTAAATGCCTTGGAAATTAAAAAAGAAAAGAAAAATAAGTTTGAAATAATGACATAAAAATAATTATATAAGAATATAAGCATAGGTAATAATTTTGTATTTTGATATTTTATGATTCTTGAGACGTAAGTACTTTTAATATTCAATCTTATTTTCGATAATATACATATATGTTTCGAGCTTATCAAAATTTTAGTAGAAATCTGAAAAACTTATTGTTAGCTGGTCATAAATTGCATACTGCTTTAGATCTCATGTATGTAAAATTGTTACATACATGGACATGAGATAACAACGACATGAATAATCCCTATTCAAATGATTCGTAATATCTATCGAATCATGAAGTACACGTGAGTTATCGTTGCGGTTCATAACAAAGCGCAACGGGATAATCGATCGGGAATATTAATGTTAGATTCACTATAAATCATAAAGCGGTAAAGTCATGTAATCCTTTTACAGTATCCGACATGTTGATGGGAATATATCTCTTCATAATCGCTATAGAAGACGCGAGGTTCCGCGATAACTACAAACAAGAAGCAAGTACGTGGATGTCCTCATGGTTCTGCACACTTTTAGGAGCATTAGCTATGACATCATCTGAGGTATGCATATTAACACCTCTCTGAACTTCGCAATTCTCAATTTATACTAACTAGAACAATACAGGCGCATGCTACGCGCGCGCACTTATAGTGATTTAATATAAATATTTTTATATTAAACTATAAAATTATGGTTAATTCAACCATAATGGATTATGGTTGAATTAACGTATAACTTCGTGTAATGTA